GGGTGTCCTGGGGGTGTCCAAAGGTGTCCAGGGGTGTCCAGAGGTGTCCAGGAGTGTCCTGGGGGTGTCCAGGGGTATCCAAAGGTGTCCGGGGGTGTCCAGGGGTGTCCAGAGAGGGACAGGGGGTGTCCGGGGGTGTCCAGAGATGCTCCCAGGGGTGCCCGGGGGTCCCTGCTCCCCCCCCATCCCCATCCTTGCCCCCCCAGGAGCCGCCGGGCCGAGGGGACCCCCCCGAGGAGCCCCCGGCCCGCTCGTGGTGGGTGCCCGCGGCGAGGAAGAGGAGGAACGTGACCCTGGTGAGGGCTGGGGGGGATCCGGGGGGTCCCGCCCGTGGGGGGCACCGGGGGCTGCCCCCGGGATTTGGGGTCCTCCTGCCCCTGGGGTGTCCCTGGTGCCGGGATCCCCCCGGTCCCGGGGTGTCCCTGCTCTGTCCTGCCGTGTTTCGGTGTCCCCCCCATTCCCGGTGTCCCCCCCATTCCCGGTGTCCCCCCCATTCCCGGTGTCCCCTGGGCTGTCCTCCCATTCTCCCCAGCCCGTGGCGCTGTCCCCGCGCTGTCCCCCGCCATTCCCGGGATGTCCCCGCGCTGTCACCGCCCCGTTCCGGTGTCCCCCCCCATTCCCGGTGTCCCCGGGGCTGTCCCCGCGCTGTCCCCGGGATGTCCCCGGGATGTCCTCGGGATGTCCCCGCGCTGTCCCCAGCCCGGTGTCCCCGCTGTCCCCAGGACTGTGCCCGGGGCACCGCTCGCTGCCGCCCGTTCCGGTGTCCCCTTATTCCCGCTGTCCCCATTCCCGGTGTCCCCCCATTCCCGGTGTCCCCGGGATGTCCCCGCGCGGTCCCCAGCCCGGTGTCACTGTCCCCGGGATGTCCCCGCGCGGTCCCCAGCCCGGTGTCCCCGCTGTCCCCAGGACTGTGCCCGGGGCACCGCTCGCTGCCGCCCGTTCCGGTGCCCGCTGCCGTCCCTGGAGCGCTCGGAGCTGCGGGCGCGGGGCCGCCTCTGGAACGGGACCTTCCTGGAGGTGCGAGACCCCCGGGGGGTCCCGGGGAGGGGGTCCTGGGGGTGGGGAGGGGGCTCAGCCCGGCCTGGACCCCTCCCCGAATTCCCAGGAGTTCCTGGATGTGGAGAACCTGGAGCTGATCGTGCGCGCCGAGGTCTCGGTCGCCTCCCCCCGCGGCAATGTCGTCATCAAGGACGCGGTGGCGCAGGTGGGGACCCCCCCCGGGACCCCCGGGACACCCCCTGAGACCTCCGGAACCACCCCCCAGGACCCCCGAAACCCTCCTGGGACCCCTGGGACACCCCCTGAGACCTCCGGAACCACCCCCCAGGACCCCCGAAACCCTCCTGGGACCCCTGGGACACCCCCTGAGACCTCCAGAACCCACCCGGGACCCCTGGGACACCCCTGGGACCCCCAAACCCCCCCCGGGACCCCCAGGACACCCCCTGAGACACCTGGAACCCACCCCGGGACCCCCAATGACCCCGGTGACCCCGGTGACCCCCCTGACCCCACTGACCCCGCTGACCCCACTGATCCCGCTGACCCCGCT